CATCCCAAAACCGGCCTCTTCGCGAGATAGTCGGCGAAACTTATCGATTCGCGATTCACAAATATGTCATTTGTTGAAAACGATAAACCATACAGAGAGATAATAATAAACAGTGTAACGAAATCAGAAAATTTATACAAGGTAAATATATCACTTAGTCTTAATGGACATCACGTAATTATTGGACGAAAAAACAAAAATTTTATATATTACTCTTTTGATAATATATACGACACTAAATAAATTGATTCTATTAAAATTTTTATAAACAACGAATTTATTTAGAGTTGTACATATCATTAAATATAATATAATATTATATAATATTATATTATACATATTATATTTTTAATATTTAAAATTTGTTTCCTCTCTCCAATAATTTGGCCATGTTCACTAACTGTCCACGAATTAGTATATTTACCTTAGTCGTAAAGATTTTATTTTCTACGTGTAATATAACCATTTGGAAAAATTTCTCTGTAATTATACGTACGATTCTATTTAACATTACAAAAAAAATGTAACAGAGAAATTTAAATTCGCATAGAATATTCGCATGAATTTTTTAATTTTTTTAAACGAAAAAGACACGACCGTATCGCTACTCCGCTCCACTGCTCAATATTAAACGGAGCTTGGAAAAGATGGAAGATATTTTATAATACTCCTGGGATATAGAGGTCTATAAGTTCCAAGAAATTTGCTAAGGATCGAAAAGCTCTAAAAGCTTGAAGATGTATTTTCTTAAAAGGACAAATTTATATGCTTATCGCGAAGATAGGTACGAATGGAACGATTTTAACAGATATAGTTTTTATTAGATCTGTTCTATTAGATCTGTTCTAAAGTTCTTGCACGGTTAATTTTTCTTCCTTTTCTCTCCACGTTGGAGAGAAAAAGAGAAAAGATGAACCGTGCAAGAAGTTCAACTAAAAAGAACAGGCTAATTACGTAACGAGAATCTCGTCTCTCGAAAATAGATACAAATGTCTATGTTTACAATATTCATTTGAGGAGGAAAAGTCATATCAATGATTACACGATTGTCGTTTTTATACTAGCGAGGAATTTGTTATTTGTTCGTGCGTTATTTAAAGATGATTTATTAGCGTTAGTGTTTCTTGCCAATCGTTAAATATTAAATGTGAGTAACGCAATCTGTTTGTACGTAATTTAATATCTACGTGACGTTATATAAAGGTATCGAGCGATTGTATGTTGATATCCACATTGTTCACGACGCAACCGTAAAAACAGGAAATTCTGTAACTAAAATAAAATGTCGATACGGTATTATACAGACTAGTCTTAACTGTATTATGTAGAGTAGATCTGTATTATGTGGAGAGAAACTGTAAAAAATCACAAGTAAAGCGAATTAAATTTTTGAGAATGAGTTTATAATTTAAAAAAATGTTTCACATAAAGTTTGAAAAAGAATTTCACCAAAGCAATTGCGGAAGAATTTCAAGAATTTCGATTGTTTTCAAGAATCAGCGAATCCTAAAAATCTCCAAATTTAAATAATGTATTAAACAAAATTCAGGAGTACGTTTAACGTTTCATTTTTGGAATTTTCCTTTTAATAGAAGTAACAATGGCCAAAATATTAATTTTTTTCATATTTGATCATAATATCATACAATCGTTTTTACGTGTGTATTGTGTATATACTATACATATATATGTATATATACATAAAATTCTATGTAATGTGTCGATTGTAAACAATCTTATAAAAAGTAAAATGTGATTATTATATATATAGCGTGTATATCTTAATGCTTGCAAAAAATTCACATCTTCGCAGTGGAACGAATCTCAAGAAAATTATTTAAAAAATTTAATATATTTTGCGCGGAAAGATATAAATAAATAAACTAACTAGCCTGATGTGTGATTACTTTCTCGAACATCACCATTCTTCGTGAGGATTAAAATATAATAGTAAAGATAAGATTAGAATATCAAATAATAAATATAATTAAGTGCTTTGTAGATAGAAATCTATTTTATTGAGTATTTGATGTCACACGAATGAGAAAATTATTATTAAGGACAACGTCCTTCGGCAATAGACTTGCTTTGTCAAATTAGAGTAGTTTTATTGTCTTTTATGTAGACATAAGCTCTAAGGCGTATATTTCCTCGCAATTTCCTCGCTTTTGATATTGCATTTAAGATGACCGAGTTAGGCACACGTTTCTGGCCTTAAGGCTCTTGGACTAGTTTGCAGCTCTATTGAATTATAACATCAGAAGCAAGAAATCAGATGTAATTTCTTCTTACAACGTACATCAAAATAAATGAAATATTTTTCCGGGGAAAATGGGCAATCTTAACTTATTTATTGTTAACTGATACAACGATATTTCATCGTTTATTTACATTTTAGAAATTTGACTTGCTTTAATAATTTTTAAGTTTGTATGTTACATATATTTATGTAATTTGTATCCATCGTTTTTGTAACTTTCGCTTTAAAAAAGTCGATACTAAATTCTATCATTCATAGGCAAAACAGCATTAGAAATCATATGCGATGTATATATGTAATTTTCTATGTACATAGTTACTAATTGCGTATACTTTTACGGGAAAGGAAATATGTTTGGAAAGGATAAAATAAGAAATTCATTTTGCAAAAACACATGGAGAATAATTATTGTAATCTGTGAATTGTGAACAAATATAGAGAATGATAATTTGTGATAAATTATACATGTAATATCCCCTTCGCATGTCTGTATTACACAATACATATGATTCACGCTCCATTCGTGCAGAGCAAAGAAAAGCTTCGGACATGATATTCACATTGATGTTGACTCCATTTCCACCATCTCGTTAATTTTTTTCGTCATGATTAGAAGTTCTTCCAGAGAAAACAATTTTCATGCACGCTTGTGTAAGGCAAACTCATTGTACAGTCCAGCTGAATATGTAAATAACACACATTCATAGCACATAAATTATGAGTGTATTTTATTCTTATAATCATTCTATAAACTTAAAATGCAGCAATAATAGTCGCATTTAGTGGCACTAACCCGTAAACATTAGCAACTGTTATATAAAAAAAGGGATTTTAAACGATGAGGAAATACTGGAACGATATACGTATATCTCTAAATATTATGAATTTTGAATGAACATATGTATGTACAATATACACACTTCTTTAAAATCATAATATTTAAAGATAGTGTGAATTTTCATATTTACGATATTTAAATATTTTTCTAAATGAGCGTCAACACTCCAATTTTTCTCTTCTTCTCCTCCTCTGCAATATCAAGTAGATCGTTCACATACAATCGCATAATACGGATGGCAAATCAGTGGTTTTCCTTCGTAAAGAGCCTAACATAGTGGAAATATATAAGGTAAAGCAATCTGATGGATGCGCAGTAGGAAAGTGCATATTCAGACATATTTGATTGGCTATTCCAGTATAACCTGCGCTATCATAGATAGGAAAATGCATATTCGGACATATTTGATTGGCTATTTCCAATATTGCTACCGCCATTATGCGTATTGTTTCACCTTATATATTTCCATCATGGAGCCTAATGTATCTTAGAAATTACTTTGGAATGAATATAATAAATAATAAGGAAAAACAGAGATCGCTGACATGTTAGAAATTGATAACGCTATCTCTAAAAATTCAACTTTTTTTGTCTAATTTTTTGTCAGTACGCGCCTATAAAAATTGCGAGATTAAAAAAAATCTCAATCTAAACGATTCTCTCTTCCATTGATGTTCGATTCCTAAATAAAAACATTCAACTGAATAATTGAGAAAATCTGCAAGACGGTTAAATTATAATATAATACAAAGCAATTATATCATCGCATTAATCTCAACTAATTGTAAATATTTGTACGAGGTACGCTTTTTTTCTTTAATATATAAGTCTTCAGTCACATCTGTATCGTTTGACATACACTCATGCACTCGTTCATGTACAAACACGCTCGCATTACGTAACTGTACAGATTGATCATTTAAAGCTATTATTCACATTAATTCCTTTATTTCTTTCTTCACTTCCATAAAAAATATAGCGAGTGTGCATTATACTTCTTCTCCATTACACTAAGAAAAAGAATCCTGAAAGATAGGATGCTAAATCTTGACATAAAACGTATATAGTATTTCTTTGTTATAATATATCCGACTTTTTTTTATGCATCTAATTCGATTTTAGTATAGTTCTGTCATTATTTGCTAATAGAATCAATTTCCACAGAAAAACACAAGAAGTTGATTTAAAAAATTTTAATTAAAGAAATGAGATATTTGCGTAATAGCGTACAAATGTCAATTTTAGAAATAACGCATTTTCTTCAACATCTTTTAATGTTCACTTTAGACTTTTTTTTTAATTAACAAAGTCCCTTACTTTCTGTATACACTTTTAAATGATTAAAATCGTTAACTTAAAAAAAATATATATTGTACAGTTGGAGAAAAGAAATGATTGTAATGTGGAGTTTGTAGATTTTGATCCTCCTAACATCAGTGACAGGACTTTCATGATCATTAAGTTCATAAATTCGTGACCTATTGTCTAGTGGATGGCATTTTACGTGAATAGTCGGAGCATATTATTGTCAAAAAAGTGTTATACCGATATAAATAAATGGTACTTTGTAACGAACTATTGATATCTATTAAATATCGGAAACTAAAAAAAGATACTGTAAATTATAGCTTTTATAATAATCTAAATAACGTCTTATATATATATGTATGTATATATATATAGTACAATGCTTAATAATTCAAAATCGTATTATTCTTCGAAACGATTAATCGGAAGCTTGCAACATCGCGCAAGTGAATGAATGCAAAGCCCCTGGCAGATCAATGAAAACAAAACGTTTTCCATTGGAAATTGTCGTAATTTACTCTTTCTCTCTCCCTCTTCCTCCCTCTTTCCCCCCTTTCTTACGCAGTCTATTAAAAATCCTCCAAAGCTATAAGCTATAAGCTTATTCTACTATACAATATTCGTTTTTCAAGGTACATATGTATGTAATTTCTTTTTATAAGAATCTTAATTTCATATTAATTATCTTACACTTTATTACAGATTTATTATCCTAAATCTTCCTCCGTTTTGGCACTCATGTCCTACTGTTTTTGCACATCACTGTTCTCCTCGATATCATCCTGCACACTATCTTCGTTTTCCGATGTATCTTGAACGTAGGACATATTACCTTGCATCTCGTCCGTCTGCATGACGTCGGTTTCGTTTCGCGTTGCATAATCCTCTTCCTCGATCTCGTAAGTGTTCTCTGGATAAATATACTGCGCCTCTTCGACATTACAGTCCTCGTTATCGATATCTAACACGTTTTGTTCTATCAAAATTTGATTACCTTCCGCATCATTAGTCACCATTAACACAGTTCCGTCCAGATTATGCACCTCATGCACTTGATTGTCTCCATCATCTTCTCTGTTATCCATTACGTTCTCATCCACGGAATCTTCCTCGAAGTCGCCTTCGTTTACTTCTATTTTTACGTACTCCGTATCAAATTCCTCATTTTTCTCCCTGTTTCCAGCGTCGGAGTTGCAATCGCCATTGTTGATTACATTACCATCCAAATTCTCGTCCCATGTTACGGGTAAATCATTATTATTAGCCGCGAAGAAGTTGACTGTGTTTGACACATTGTCAGTATCATTTGGTATTTCGGTTATTTCGCACTCCTCTAGATCTTTAGCTATACTCAGCGAAACCATTGGACTAAGCTTGTGCCTCGTGCGATCTGTCGTACCGCTGTACTCCTCAGATTCGTTTTCTGGTAACAAAGGCATTATTGGACTTAACACGGGCGGTCCATCATCGTCTTCATCCTCTTCTTCTTCCTCTTCTTCCTCCTCTTCCTCGGCTGCAGCTTCAGCTTCACCTTCACCCTCACCCTCACCCTCACCCTCATTCTCATTCTCACTTTCAGCCTCACTCTCAGCCTCACCTTCATCCTCATCTTCACCTTCATCCTGATCACCTTCTTCACCATCTTCTTCCTCTTCTTCATTTTCATTATTTTCCTCATCATCTTCCTCGTTATCATCATCGTCTTCGTTATCAGAGTCTACATCACTCGTTGTAGCTTTAATTTGTTGTAGTTTTTCGATATGAAATGCCTCAAATTTGTCGGTGCTCATGTTTCCAGATACATTAGAAATCAAAAGATCACTTAAATTATTTGATGGAGTCTGTTCTGCAATCGTTGCTATGGATGTAAGATCGGTTTTCTGATCCTCGATATTTGTCTCCAATGGCATATTCTCTTGAATACCGTCACCACATATCCTGAATCTATTAATATCGTTCAATTGTACAGCTTTCTTTTCCGTTGCGTCCACTTCCGTTTCATCCATATCTGATTCATCGTCGCTATCGGAATTACATGATACACTATCACCGCTCGCTCTACTAGTAGTTCTCGTATCAGATTCATTTTCGTTTTCATTCTCTT